TTGGTGCTTGGGGGGGGGGGGTCAACAGTGGGAGGGCTTCTAATGTCCTGGCCCCACTGGTGGACCTCCTGATGGCACTGGTATTTCTGGCCACTGTGTGACACAGAGTGTTGGACTGGATGGGCCTTTGGCCTGATCCAACATTGGCGTCTCTTATGTTCTTATGTTCTTATTCAGATGGGCACTGGGGAAGGGGTTACTTCTGAACCCCTTTCTCCTTGGGCTGTTTCCCTGGCAAAGACCGCTCCCTTTGACCCTTGCTAGGAAAACGACCCGCACATGGAAATCTCCACCCCTTCCCCCAGCACTTCAAGTTAGGAAGGGGATGAGGAAAGGATGACGTGTTTAGCCATGCTGGCCTCCACCAGTCTTCAAACCCCACCCTCTTCTAAAATCTTCCCTGTTACAAAAGACCTGCCTGGTCTGATGCTTGTCTTTGGGAGGCAACACTGACTCCCCACCCTGGCGCTTTAAACATCTCCTTAGCAGGCGGAAGTCAACCAGTAGAGCTTTTCCTAGTCTCCGACAGCTTTTAACTCTCAGAAGCTTATACCCCCGAAGTATTCCTGGTCTCTGAGGTGTTACTGGATTTGAACCTTGATGTTTCCAGGCATGGTGATGCGATGGGGGGGAGGAGAAGAATTAGATTTGTACCCTGCCCTGACTCGGAGTCTCAGAGCGGTTTACAATCTCCTTCCCTTCCTCTCCCCACAACAGACACCCTGTGAAGTCGGTGGGACTGAGAGAGCTCTTTCGAGGACTGCTCTTGAAAGAACAGCTCTGAGAGAACTTGTGACTGACCCAAGGTCACCCAGCTGGCTGCATGTGGAGGAGTGGGGAAGCAAACCTGATTCTTCAGATTACAGTCCGCTGCTCTTAACCACTATATACCAAACTTTTGGTAAGCTTTTCCTGTTGGATTTTCGCCTGCTGTGTAGCAAGGGCCCTTGTGTTTTTTTCCAAAAGGGAAGGCCTGGTAGGGGTCTAAGCACCCAACCTTATGCCATTCTGCCGCTTATCAGCAGAGCTATCCAAGTTATCTGGACCTCCCGAATGTCACCTTTTGAAAATTAAATAAAATTTCACATCAGGGATGATGTAGATAAGACACGGCTCTTTCATACCACGCCCCCTAACACAGTCTCCACCCATCTCCAGCACGGGAAGGCTGTGGTTACTAAATAAGGAGGGAAAGGCCCTTTTGCACATGCTCTGAGACACTCTGGTTATCTCTTGAAAAAAACGACCCAACCGGCGTCCTGCCACCTCCACGCGAAAGACAAGTTCATTTTAAAATTTGCATTTCTTCAAATGACTTCACGCGCCCATGCAAATGAGCCGGCGGAGTTTCTGCCTTCTGGAAGAGTCGCAAACCTCAAGTGCTACCCACAACGCGTCCCCTCCTCCGTGCCTTTATTTCTGAAGTGAAGGAGCACCAGGGCTCGCCGGCTTGCAAGCTCAGCCAAGAACTACACTGGGGCAAAACTGAGGGCCCGAGAAAAATAACCTCACGCACGCTCAGAGGCAATCGCATCCCATTGGCTGCCGCCAAACGAAATTTACTTAATTTAGGGAAAGATAAGACTGACGCCCGGCCCCGAGGGCAGGTACCAGGACTCAGATTAAATATCTGTGATCCCAGTTCTTACCTTCTCCGTCGCGCTGATAGCCGGCCTGCTAATTCCTACCCGTCCACGCCTGCCCGCCCGTGCGCACAACCGCCTCCAATCCACTTTGGTTCCCTAAAGCCCCCCCCTCCCCCACAGCCACAAGGACACCTGGGGACACAGAGCAGGTGTACTCTTAAGCATACATCCGCCCCCACGCTGCTTACCCTTGCGCTGCCGGTTCAGAGCCCTCGGGGAGGGGGGCCGACGCAAACAAACAGGTGCGGCAGGCAGGCAGGCCTCTCAAGCCCCGGCGTGCGTGCGTGACTCTGGGAAGGGCACCCCACCTTTGGCCCGCAGGTGGGCAAACGGCGGTGCCCACCTGTAGCCCAATAGGAGGGGCTTCCGCAACAACTGGCACGGCAGGGAGGGGCAGCCGATTCCCATGTGCGATCGAAGCAAAGTGCGAGAAGACCCGGGGGCCGTCTCCGAAGCCGTGTGTAAAGTCCAATCTGATGCCACCTGTGCCAAGCTCACCCCCTCAATGCCCTGCTTTAATTAATCTGGGGTAAGGACTACCTCCAGGTGCCCGATTTCCCCACGGCTAATTTAGGTCATCAATTGGAAGGTGCCATCAGTTGTGAGGGGCCGGAAGAAGGTACCAGCCTGCACACACACTCAAAAAAAGCCCTGCTTCTGTGGGCTGGCTGGCACCAGCACCATCAGCCCAACCCTTTCACCCACAGCTTTGTCCGATCGCAATGACTGGCATGAAGATTCCATTCCCTACAATCTTCCCATGGCTCTACGGCCTCTTTTTTTGCCGTGTCCCACTGTAACCCCCCCCTTCATTTACACATATCACCATAAGCCTTGAAGAATGAACTGACTTTACAGTACTGCAAAAAGCCCTTCATTTATATTCCCCACTAAACAAACAAATAATAAATGCTGGAAATGTAAGTCCTGTCTCACCCATAAACAGGCATTAGAGAGAGAGAGAGAGAGAGAGAGAGAGAGAGAGAGAGAGAGAGAGAGACTTTCCTCCCTTTTAAACTCCCTGGCATGCCAATGCAAGAAATTGGTTAAAGGGAGGTGACAGGTGGTTCCCACACAGATGCTAAACCGAGCCTCCACAGTCAGAGGCAGTACACCTTTGTAGCTCCGTTGCTAAGGAGGCAACAGCTTGAGAGCACCATGGCCTCCATGCCCAGTTTGCGCGCTTCCTGAAAACATCCGGTCGGCTCGGCCACCATTGGAAACAGGATCCTGGACTAGATGGACCTTTGGTCTGACCCAGCAGGGCCTTTCGAGATCTGAACCTGGCTCCTCATGGGTTTTCAAACCGGGCATTCAGCGTCAGGCTGCGGGGCACATTCTGCCCACTGCAGGAGAAGAGTGAAGGAACTCTGTGAGAGAGCCTGGCAAAAGGACAGCTGGCACATACTCAAGAGGGGCACTGCCAAGCTTGCCAGGACAAACACACATATCTACACTGGAGGGCAGAGTCATCAGTAGGCTGGGTGTGCCTTTGGGGGGGGGGGGACTCCAACAGGAAAACTGCCCCGAGGAAAAACCTGTTGTTAGTAACCGAGCACCTGAAGATTGTTCGTCTAAAGGCTCCAACATTTACGCCAATTTCTGTATCCACTGCCCCGTTCTGGGTGCCATTCGCAAATAGGGTCTACACGGAAACAGCACTTGTTTACGAGTAATAAATTCCCTGTTTGTGGATCTAGGAATGGGAGGAGGCAAAACCCACGTTGGATAGTAGGACCGGGGCCACAAAAATTCACCCACTTGCTCATAAAGCAAATGCGGTTTAATTCCCAATGGGAGCTGGAACGCCGTGAGATATATAACTTTAAGAGATAGGAGCCTGCCAGTTGTTAAGAAGGGAGAGGGGGTGAAAATCAAAGAAGGCGCCAACGTGAAAGCAAGCGTAAATGTCGGTAGCCAGAATAATCGGACCCATCGGGTAGACCTTTCCAGACACGACTCTGGACCTCCTGAGGGCCCCTGGTATTTCTGGCCACTGTGTGACAGAGTGTTGGACTGGATGGGCCACTGGCCTGATCCAACATTGGCTTCTCTGATGTTCTTATGACACGGCCTGCTCAGACCCAAAACGCAGCACATTGCAATGGGGGAATCAAGAGTCATGCTGCAGAAGATCAGCTAAATGATGAATTCAGGTGGGTAGCCGAGTTGGTCCAAAGCAACAGTACAAAGTTGGAGTCCAGTGGCACCTTGAAGACCAACAAAGTTTAATCCTGGGCATAAGCTTTCATGCGCACACACAATTCATCAGATACATAGAACAAAGTTGGAGTCCATTGGCACCTTTGAGACCAACAAAGTTTAACTCTGGGTATAGGCATTCATGCGCACGCACACTTCTTCAGTCAAATGGTAAGATACAGCCGAATCCCAAACCCCTGATGGCTTCCCAAGTGTGAGAGCTGTGCCCTCGGCGGGCACAGGCCAACAAATGCCATCTGCCCACCCTCCTCATTCCTGCACCAGATTGTTTTGGAAACAGGGCTGTGCAGGGGACCCGGCTGGTCTGGGAAGTACCCCTGCCCCAGTTTTGGCCAGAGCATTCCATATGTGAAGGGCAAAGTGGAAATCCACGGGCCCGTGACTCCCCGCAAGGTACAGCTGTACTGCCAAGTCCCTTGGCAGAGATATTCCCACAGCGCCACACCTCGCCCCCCCCAAACACCCACACAATACTGTTTCCAACCTCCCACTATATTCCCAGCCTCCCCCTCCCCCCACACACACACTTAAGGGTGACATATAACTCCCCAGTGCCAACCTGGGTACCCCAAGACCCGTCCATGTCAGCAGACAATACGGGCAGCAGAACTGCAAAGGTGCCAGGCACAATGGCTTTGGGACCACAGGATGTAAGCGGAGGTACACTTGGCTCTTTTGGAAAACTGCTTCCCCAATATAAGAAGATGGGGGGCGCGGCTACACAAACAACCCTTCCGTTTTGAGGCCAGGTCCTGCCCCCACCGGCCTGTGCCCACATCCCCCGGGAGGGGTGAGCCTGCCTCAAAGGCCGGGCGGTAACGCTGGGTCAAAAGGGGAAGAGGGGCGAACCGAAAGGGAGAATGGGGAAGGGCGTGTTAAGCGGGGTGGGGGGTGGGCACGAGTTGGGGAAGTTGCGAGCGGACGCCCGCAGAGCCGAGCCGCACCTCCGTCCGGACGGGCACAACAACCCAGGATTCGAACTCGGCTCCCGGAGATCTACCGAGAGGAAAAGCCTCGTGAAAGTTTGAAGTTTGGGGGGGGCTTCCCAAATCCTGGGGAAGTGGGTTAGGCAAAGGGGGGGGACAGACGCGCAAACCCCCCCCACGCCTCCCTACCCGGCGCCGCACTTACCCCCCGCAGGTCTCGGCGTGGCTCTCGGCGCGTTGGGTCCGGGGCTGG